CCACAAAACCGTTACTAGCGTGGTGTACCTAATAAAGTGGCCGGTGAGTGTATATTATACATATGTACAAACACACTTGGATCTTTCCTTGATAACGTAAATAAACAACCAGCTCTAACATGGCTCCCTATCGATACTATTATAAAAAAATGACCAATATCGGCCGACACTGATATGAATGCCGATATATTGTGCATCCCTAAAAATCTGTGTGTGAAATCTAAGCCCACCCTTGTTGCCTCCAGAGGAATTTAAAGGTTTTGTATCACAGCCAGGAGTTGCTGATCAAATGTTCTGAAGAACCAATCATCAGTGTGAGCACCTCTATAAAAGCAGGAGTTTTGTCAGTTTGCTGCTCTGAAGCACACAGGTGTGTTTTAACACAACGCCAAGTAGGAAAGACATCAGCAATGAACTTAGAGAAGCAGCTGTTGCTGCCGATCAGAAATGACCTTTAACCCTTCCTAGACAGAAGTCCATCATACGACAGAGAAAACGATTCTTTACAAAACTGTTCAGGATTGGACGTGCCAGCACATTCACAGTGAGGTCAGACCATGCAATGCTCAGCAAAAGTCAAAAACAAGAGCTCCATCTTAGAATCCACAGACCTTAGTTAGCACGTTGAAAGCTAAAGGTCAGGACAGGACAACTAACAAAAGTGTGACTTATTTGGAAGGCTTACAGCAGTGCTGGACAAAAATTCATTGTTGATACATATCACAATAAAAAATGTTTCATTAACAATGATATAATATATTTTAAAATGTATTCCGAGTGGTGCTGACTCTGCGTTCAGTGTTTCCCCTACCATTATACAGGCGTTTCTATAAAATAAGTTGCACCCCACCCCCCAGACCAGTTTCCTAGGGGAAACACTGTAATTTAATTATTATTAGTCATACAGTACATTTGAGATATCTTGCTTTTTGTTCTGAGTAATAATTTTAAACAAAAAGATCTTAAATGACATCAGGTTTATAGGTACAGTAAATATTGGTGTACTTAGCAGTTTTTCTGACACTTTTAATTATTCATATTGATATCGAGTTTCGACTGAAATTAGGAAATATATTGTGATATAAATTTTATCCATTTTGTCCAGTCATAGAGTACAGGAAATAAAATCTCTTCTCTAAAAAGTACATTTCAGCATTTTGGTTTGTAAAGTTTTACATGAATGAACAAGAAGACATCTGGAACAATGTGCTTTGGACAGATGAGACCAAAACATATAGCTCTCTGTTTGGAGAAAACCAAACACAGCATGATGATTTGGGCTTGTTCTGGAGAAACAGGATCTGGACACCTTGAAGTCACTGAGTCAATCTTGAACCCTCTTTAGACTAAAGGACTCTAGAGTCCGATGTGAGACCATCTGTCTGACAGCTTGAAGCTTGGACCAAACTGGGTCATGACACAAAAGAACAACGATCCCAAACACATCTGCAAGAATGCAAAACAACTGAAAAAGAAAAGAGTCTACGTGATGCAATGGTCCAGGCAAAGTTCAGACCTCAACCTCAGTGAAATGTTGAGGTGGGACACTGAGAGATCTCTGCAGAAACAACGTCTGCAAACCTCAATGAACTGAAGCAATGTTGAAAAAAGATTTTCTTCCACAACCATGTGAGACCGATAAAGTCCTACAAAAAATGTTTTTGTTGCTCAAGGTTTTGACAAGCTGCTGGACCAGGGGCTGGACTCACGGGTCCATTTTATCTTTGTTATTAAAAATTTGAGAAAGATGGAATGTGTTGAGGTTAGACTTGTGTAATTTCATAACTTGAAAAACAACTGATCATTTTTCTACAACTCTAAATCTTAAAATGGATTAACTTTGTTTTTTTTCTTGGCTTTAGTTATTAAATATTATACTTAACATTTTACAAATGAAAAACATTTTGAAAAAATATATATATTTAAAACAAAGAACAAGGCCCACCTGTCGTTCTGCAGTCTCCAGTTTTACAGTCAGTTGTCTGAGTTCCTGTTGCAGAGCATCAACTTCCTGCTGCCTTGTTTCTTTCTCAGCCTCTAGAGCAGACTGAATCTCCTCTCTGCTCGCTCTCTCTGCACAAAGAGCAGCGCACGCTTCCTCCCTGCTTCGCCTCTCCTGTTCGAGCCCTGCTGCAGCATCCTCTCTGGCTCTCTTCTCAGATTCCAGAGCCAACACTGCTCTTTCTTTTTGTTTTCTCTCCTCTTCAAGAGACGCCAACATCTCTTCTTTGTACCGCCTCAGCTCCTGAAGAGCCGTAATGGCCTCCTCCCTTGCTTTCCTCTCCTCCTCTAAAGAAACCAGGGCCTCCTCTTTTCCCAGCGTTTGGTACTCCAGAGCAGCAAGGGTTTCCTCTCTTTCTTTTCTCTCCTTGGCAAGTGCAGCCAAAGCTTCCTGTGTGATTTGAGTACGATTGATTCATTAAAATACATCAAACACTCAACATGGTAAAGTTTGAATATTTTCTTCATTGACAAATTCAAATCTGTACGTTTTCTCAGCCAAGATTTAACAAGAACATTTATAGAGAATAAATTTTAAAGTCTCTTAAAAATCTGAAATATAAAAAACACAATTAACTGCAGACTGGAAAATTATACAATTAGTTGATTAATTAATAATTAGTGAGGATGTTAGAACAAGAGCGTTAAGTCTAAGAAGCAGAAGGGACTGTTTAATATATGTTTAGGCTTTTATTCTGAGGTTCACTTGCCAATCATCTGAGTATATTTCAGGTTTTTTTATTCTAGAGGGGAGAGGAAGTGTTTGGTGGGTCAAGTGTAGGGCTGCAACAATTAATTGATTAATCGATGACTAATCGATTATTAAAATAATCAATGACTAATTTAATAATTGATTAATCGTTTTCTTTTTTTGTTGTTCTTTACTTTGTTTTTCTCTGCAAACTGCTTTGACACCTTCCACTGCCAC